TATTTGATAGGTGACTGTGTTTGTATTTGTTTTTTTATCTTTAAAGTATATTTTTATTCATTTCAGAGAGGAGGGGAGAGGGAGAGAAAGAGAAACATCAATGATGAGAGAGAATCACTGGTCGGCTGCCTCCTTCACACCTCCTACTGGGGATCAAGCCCACAACCCAGGCATGTGCCCTTGACCAGAATCAAACCTGGGACCCTTCAGTCCGAAGGCCGATGCTCTATCCACTGAGCAAAACCAGCTAGGGCTGGTAGTGATATTCTTAATATTTTGAGGAACTTCTGTACTGTTTTCCACAGTAGTTGCACCAATTTACAATCCCACCAACAGTGCACAAGAGTTCCCTTTTTTCTACATCCTCACCAACACTTATTTCTTGTCTTTTTGATAATAGCCATTCTGACAGGTGTGAGGTTTTGATTTGCATTTCCCCCATGATTAGTGATGTTCAGAGTTTGTTTATTTATTTTTTTATTGATTTCAGAGAGGAAGGAAGAGAGAGAGAGAGAGAGAGAGAGAGAGAGAGAGAGAGAGAGACATCCATGATGAGAGAGAATCATAGAGAGAGAGAGAGAGAGAGAGAGAGAAACATCCATGATGAGAGAGAATCATGGATCGGCTGCCTCCTGCAAGTCCCCCACTGGGGATGGAGCCTGCAACCCGGGCATGTGCCTTTGGCCGGAATCGAACCTGGGATCTTTCAGTTTGCAGGCCGATGCTCTATCCACTGAGCCAAACTGGCTAGGGCCAGAGTTCACTTTTTATTTATTTACTTACTTGTTCACTTATTTATTTATTTAAATCCTCACCTGAGGAGAATATGTGGTGAGAGAGAGAGAGAAAAAGGGAGAGAAACATTGACGTGAGAAAGAAACATTGATTGGCTGCCTCCCGCATGCATCGATTGAACCCACAACCCAGGTGTGTGCCCTGACCAGGAATTGGACCCACAACCTTTTGGTATACAGGATGATGCTCCAACTAACCGAGGCACCTGGCCAGGGCTAGAGTTCACTTTTCTTGTTTTGACATTATAGGTATGCACTGGTAAGAATCAGAAAAAAATAAATACAACAGTAAGGTGGCCCTTGAGGTGCTGAGTGATGATCACACCACTGAGCTGTAAGTGTGCCGAGTGGCCTTTGAAACACTTGTCACACTCAATGCTGCGTTATAGAGTGAAAGCAGCTGCAGGCAGTGCAAATAACAGTGTGGTTGTGCTTCAGTAACGCTGTGGGCGATTCATACTTCTAACAATAAAGATTAAACAAAAAAAAAAAAACTATGGATGCTGACATTTGAATTCTATAATATTTTCATGTGTCATGTAATTTCTAAAGCCATCCTCCTCCCCCAACCATTTAAAAATGTATACGCTATTTTTAGCTCACAGATTTTTAAAAAAATATATTTTATTGATTTTTTTACAGAGAGGAAGGGAGAGGGACAGAGAGTGAGAAACAGATGAGAGAGAAACATCGATCAGCTGCCTCCTGCACACTCCCCACTGGGAATGTGCCCGCAACCAAGGTACATGCCCTTGACCGGAATTGAACCTGGGACCCTTCAGTCTGCAGGCCGACGCTCTATCCACTGAGCCAAACCGGCCAGGGCTAGCTCACAGTTTTTTGTAAAAAAAAGGGTGGGCTGGATATTGCCTGTGGGTTGTAGTTTGCTCACACCTGGTGTATCTCACAGGGTTGTGAGAATTTATGTTGCTTGTTCTTTGTGTCTGATGCTTTCCCTCTGTCCATGGATGTTGTTTTCTATTTATCTCCAGTTATTATGGGAGGAGGTGGGATGTCGGTGCCATCAGTGTATTTTCTTGGCAAAGAGGCACTGACTGGCCTTCCCAAGTCTTACGTGTCCAGCGAAGGACTCTGTGAGTAGATGCCTCTGCGAGTACTGCCTGGCACAGTGCAGGTGGGGGAGCGAGCCGACCTGCTCCGCTGTCCCACATGTAGGACTCACTAATCCTGGTGATTGTCCGGGACCAGCCTGGCTCCCTTTCACCGCCCAGGGAGGGCACCGTGTCGACTTTCTCAGATGCCCTCGCCTGTGTGTTGTTTAGGATGTGATTTCCTGGGTCAATCCGCTCAAATACCAATCGCCTCGCTTCTTTCAGAGATTCCTTCTGGTTAAGGCTCCATCTTGTTTTCTGTGCGGTTACGATGTATCCCTTTTGCTTAAGATGCTATATTTTTCACTCATATACTTTCCTTTTGGTTCTTTTTTTAGTTGCGATTTCTCTGAGACTTCCTATTTATACATCGGGGGGCACAGTTTCCTTTATATCTTTGAGGACAGAGTAGCTGCTTTAAAACCTGTGCTATTTCTAACCATTTAGTTTTGGGAATCTGCCTCTATTGCTTGTCTTTCCTCTTATGTACGGGTTACATAGTTCTGTTTCTTCATATGTTTAATGGTTTTGGATTTATTTGGAAATTGTGAATGGATTCTGGTATGTTTCTCTGAAGAGTTTTTTTTTTTTTTTTTTAACAGGTTACAAACTGTGTCTCTTATGTGGGCAGCAGTTGCAATCTCTGTTCAGGTTGTTTAACCTTTGCTGGGCTGCTGGAATGGGCTTGTGCACATGTAGGTCAGGGGTCATTCAGAGATTCTGGTAGAGCTTAGTTGCAGAATTTGGGGTCTCCTCTCTGACGTTTTTCTTTCCGCGGTTCATTCCCTTTCCAGCCTTTGTGGTTTCCTCTTTGGGATCATGGTGTAGGCCATGTGTTCTATTGGTTTTAAGGCAGTAAATTCTAGCTTCAGCAAGGTGGAGGGAGACCCTGATAGACGGAAGGAAGGAAGCTCTCTTGATGAAGATACTAGCAAAGGGATGGCTCCAGTGAGTATAAAAGTACTTCCTTGTAATAGGTAAAATGGGGACCAAGCTGATTGAAATTTAAATATTAGTGCCCTGGCCAGGTAGCTCAGTTGGTTAGAGCGTTGTCCTGATATGCCAAGGTTGCAGGTTCGATCCCTAGTCAGGGCGCATACAAGAATCATAAATACAGTGAATGCATAAATAAGTGGAACAACAAATTGATGTCCCTCTCTTTCCCTCTCTCTAAAAATCAATAAATACAAATAAAACAAGAAACATAAATATTAGAAAGAAATGTGATTGTGTCCCTGATCATTCGTAAGGTATTTCCTGGGCTTGAGCCTGTGATTCATGTCTCCGTGGGTCCTGGTGTTCTCAGACTCCAGAGAGCTGCAGCTCTGAGGTACCCAAGCCTTGCCCAAGATGTCCTGATGCACAGAACACACACGCACACACATGTGCGCACACAGGCACTCTCACAGATAAATGTAGGCACGTACACACACTGAGATGTGACTTATTTGGTACTGAAAGGAACACACAGCCAGTAAGTATGTGAAAAGATGCTTATCTTCACTAATAGTCAAGTGCAGAAAAAACCAACATTGAAATATCGTTGCCTATCAGATTGTCAAAGATTAAAAACACTGATAATGTATATACTGTTGGTGAGGGTCACAGGCATTCTCACACTTCTGGTGGGAGTAGAAGTTGGTACATTTTTGGAGGGTCACTTGGCAGTATCTATGGATTTTTTTTTTAATGGTGAGATTTATTTTTAATTTTTATTATTTTTAAAAAATTGATTTTAGAGAGGGATGAAGAAAGGAGTTAGAGAGGGATGAAGAAAGAGAGGATTGATTTTAGAGAGAGAGCTAGAGAAAAACATTGATGTGAGAGAGACACATCAATGGGTTGCCTTCTGTATGCATCCTGACTGGGGGATTGAACCTGCAACCTGGATATGTGCCCTGACTGGGAATCAAACCCGCGACCTTCTGGTGTATGGGACGATGCTCCAACTGACTGAGTCATACCGGCCAGAGAGCAGTAGCTATAGATTTTTTAAAATGCTGAACCTTAGACCTACAATTCCACCGTAGCCATTTTTTGTACAGAAGTACTCGTTCTGGTGATTAAAAGATCCATGCCCAGAATTTTTCACTACCTTCATTTAAAATAGCATCTATACACTTGAAACTAATAGAATATTATATGTAAATTATATCTCAATAAAAATTCAAATAGCATATATAGGCAACAATCAAACAGCCATTGGCGGGATTATGAAACCACAGCATGTACTACCATTAAAGGCACAAGGTGTGTTTTTGTGCTGACCTGGAAAGTGTTGAAAATAGCCAGAGGCACAAGGAGGCTGTGAGGCTCAGAGCACAGTATGAGTCCATTAAGAATGTGCACCTGAGCCCCAGCTGGTTTGGCTCAGTGGATAGAGCATCGGCCTGTGGACTGAAGGGTCCCAGGTTCGATTCCGGTCAAGGGCACATGCCTAGGTTGTGGGTGTGCAGTAAGGGGTGTGCAGGAGGCAGCCGATCAATGATTCTCTCTCATCATTGATGTTTCTCTCTCTCTCCCTCTCCCTTCCTCTCTGAAATCAATAAAAAAATTTTTAAAAAATGTGCATCTGAGCTTAGAAATGTCTGGCGGGTCTGTGCCTGCCTTCTCACACGGGCTACCCCTGGGGGGAGAGAAAAGGCAACTCCCACTGTTATTTCCTTCTGTACTGTTTCCTTGAACGGACACTGACTTTTTTTTAATGTTTCCCGCCCTCTCCATCCCGTGGCTCCCGGGTTGCCTTGCTGGAGAGCAGTCTGCCCCTCTGGTCTCAGAGAAGCCAGGAAGGGGACCAGGCGCTGCCCTGTGCCTGGCCACGGTCCTCGCCTCCTGGGACCAGTGGTGTCCCCGGGGACGAATACAACAGCCGCTCATCCACCAATCAATGGACAACTCGCCAAAGTCCCCGGGGCAACCTGCAGCATCACAGGGAATCAAAGTGGTCCCACCTCATAATTCCTGGGCTTATGACGAGTGGTGACA